AACGTTCTCTGTATAGCTGGGCCCAGCTTGCTGAGAAAGCCATAAAGCTAGGGAGAGTCAGAGCCCATCTCAAGGAGCCTGGGGGTTATCATGGAAAATAGAGGGAGCGCAAGTCTGAAAACTCTTAATATATTCAATAATTGACGACACTGCTGGCTTTTGCAGATTGTTGTCAATGCCATTGTGGACACCTTGAAGACAGCGTTCCCCAGGTCAGAGCCCCAGAGCCCCACGGAGGATCTTAGCGAGTCTGAAGTGGATGGGAAATCTCAGACAGACGGGAAGAAGGCTAACAAGTAAGGCCTCCTTCAGCTTCCCCTGTGCTTTATGTAGAACATGGATTTCATACGTAAACTGACTCCATTGTGGGGAAATACCGACTTGGTGCTTTACCTGTCATGGATAATACGTTGCTGTTGTACTGTAGCTGAATTGTTTCCTCTTTCACGTACTGAGCAAGGGTATTTGAGTTCCTGTTTGGATAAAGGATTTTCTAAGAATGCTCAGGTTTTCACAGGAGGTGGGTTTCCTCCTGAGGGAGCTGTGAGGTGGTGGCATTTGCCAGCAAAGATGTTGATGCTCCTGGAGAATTGCTTTTTACCCTTAAACATGAGCATGACCTATATATGTGATGGGTCACTGCAAAATACAGCTGTAAGTTGTCTACCTGAAGGTTCACTCCTGCCGCTCCCATGTTTCACCCAGTGGCATGCCGCCTTGCCCAGCAAACGTTTGCATATTTGTTTAGGAGTAGTGTTTAAGGTCATTGCATGTATGTTGCTCACCAAGAGTTTATTTGCTGTTGCTGATAGTGACGAGCCCCATTGTGCTCATCAGTGATTCTTCCCTTACAGAAGAAGCACGAGTATGGCTTTTTTCCAGAAAAGTGATGTTTTGCTAGAAAAAGCTGCTTTGGACAAAAAGACAAACCAAAAAAGTGCAAGTTTTGAAGCGTCTTGGCCGAAAAGGACATTCCTTAATGATAAACAGGCCATTTTACAATTTGTCCCACAATCCCAAATGCCCTTTCATAGCCTTCTTTCTGTGTGTGCATGTTTATAATTGGATTTCACAATCCTGCTGAGCATGTTTCATCTCAGAGGCTTTTCTGAACACTTTCCTGTGTATGCCGCAATGCTCACTCCTCACTGAACAGAAATGCCTACATTTGCATGTAAGCTTATATGTAACATACTGCCAAAGATGTGTGTGATGGATGTTGGAAAGCCTTGGCTAGGCCCATGTGTAGTTAAGGAAAAGCTCTTTAATGCTTTTGTGGCATGGTTTTATTGCCACCTCTCAGTTATCCTCGAGGCAGATGCTTTTTTGAACCACTTTAGGTCTAATCAGACTTCTTGGCTTGGACGTGACACAGGACAAAGATAGGTCCAGGTTCTTGGCTGAGGCTGGAAAACACATCGCTCACAGCTTGCGGAGGAAACCCTGACTGTGCCGTGTCTCTCCTCTTCAGGTCCAGGCTGAGGTTCTCATCCAGTAAAATTGCTCCAGTGCTGAGCGTGAGTGAAGCGCATGACAAGATCGTGTACTCTATCAGGGAGGGCAGCACCGTAAGTTCAGATCCCTCTTGCAATCCTTTCATGATCCTAATCGTTGCCCTGTTTGGGTGTGGCTTGGAATAATCCAGGTGCACGGGGGTTGTGGCTGCTGCAGCCTTGTTCCCGCATGCCAGGACTTTGCAGAAAGGCAATAAGCAGCCCTAGTTGTGCTGTTGGCTACGGCAAGGTGCAAACCAGGTGGTGGGAGCTGGAGTAGTGGAGATCTCGTGTATCTGTTCAACTCTGGCTATGTGCAGCTCACCGCTGTGGTACTAATACACTGGTGCTTTTGTAGGTCTCTGGCACCCTGTCACTGGCTGCTATGGAGTCCTTCATCCAGAAGCAGGAGAAGCTGCTGGAGGCAGTCCCCAGCAAAGCTCCCGAAGGCGAGGGAGGCAGAGAAGCTAAGGAAAGGTCCGTGCGGGAGGATATGGACGGGCTGGGCACATCGGAGGAGGGAGCACATCCGGACACAAACTCTGGTGAGCTCAGCCCCTCTATTAGTGCTTCACCGTATCTCTCTTGGTACTGCAACAGCTTCAACATCTCAGCTTGCAAGGTTTTCAGCTGAGGACTTGGTCTCCTGCCTGTTGCACCTTGATTAAAGGGAAGGCAAACTGAGTTTTTCCAGTCCTGTTAGGTGATTGCTCTGGTCTTTATTGCTATTGGAAGCAAATTGGGTCTTGGCTCAGTTGTGTCACTGTAGATCTTCGCCTTAGTGTACTCAGTACAGTTACTGCAGAAGTAAGTTTCTTAAGGATACACTGCTTAAACTGCCAATGTTGTAAAATCAAGCTCTTAGGAACTGATAAATGGCCAAATGACGGTTTCTTGGTAGTCTCAAGTTAGTCTTGATATCTCCATGCACTATAAAAGGACCTTTTGAGATTCAGTTAAGTTTGGATAGATTTGTTGGAAATAGCAAATATGTAATCCCTGTTCAAGGAAAGATGTTCCTTTTCTGGTTGTAGATCCCTCCCCTGAAGCGCAGGGGTGCTACGGCCTCTCAGACCAGTTACAAGATTATCCTGAATGCGAGCAAAAATATGTCCTCTAATCTTTTTCTTGGAATAGTTGAAAAAATTTCACTCCCGTGGTTCAAGTTTGGCAAGCTCTGACTGAAAGCACATGCTTGTGACAGGATGGATCTGGTATTCTGGAACCTAGCCTGTGCTACCAACTTTGCCTATAATCTTTGAACACACGCCCGCGGTTGTTTTGGGGCTGCTGGGGAGCAGGACTGGAATTGGAGGCCAGCGCTCTGCGCAGAGCACAAGAGATACAGGCAGGCCAAGTTAGCTGAACTCTTAAGGAAATTTAAGGTAAATGATGTCAAATGCCTGCAGGTCTGTGACGCTTCAGAGCTGAGACAGAGCAGGCTGGTCTGGCAGGGTAAGGGGAATGAAAGTCTGGGGAGCAGCTGGCTAAAAAGGCAACCAGTGTCCCTATCTGCTCACTGGGTGACTTCTTGGAAGAGGTTGGCCAGCAGCTCTCTGAGGAAGGGGACTTGGCTGCTACGGGAATAAACAGAGCTTGCTGGCGATGCACTTTGTATGGGGTTATGGTGAAGCTAAACAGCCTGCTTCAGTTTTTGCACAGGGAAGTCAAGTCTTAAAGGGCAAAGCAAGTGAGGAGTAACTTGTGTATGGCCCAGAGCAAGAGGCGGCAAATGCACTCACATGGCCTGTCTTTTCCAAGTGAAACAGCCTGGAGTTAATTAGTCCAGCTCATATGCAGCAGGGAGAGGAAGAGGAGGGAAGGAGACATGCTAGGGTCCAGAATCCCTCTCCTCTTTATCTCCAGCAGTAAATCGTGTGTGAACAGACTCATTGGCTCTCTGTAGGCAGAGAGTGGTTGAAAGATCAGGCGTCAGGGAGGGTCAGAGTAGGGGAAGCTGCTGTACAGGAGCACGCTCTGCCAACAGAGCTGACGCAGTAGCCTCAGGTTAGGGTGCTGGCCTGGGAGTGGTTGTCTCATGCAGGTTTGTGGTACATTGAGCTTATTCTGCATAACACCTATGATGCTTTGGGGTCAAGCAGCATAAAAGTTAGTAAGTTAGAATGTGTTTACGCTGTAGGCTTCGACATCCTTCTGAGGATCAGAGAGAGGTTTTCCTGTCCCAGGTCTGTGTCACCAGGGATATGTGGGCATGTGTGGGTGGGTTTTTGTCTGAACTGATGCATCTGGTTTATCCAGATGTGG